CGCTATTAGGTTGGAGGCCATCGCTATTAGGTTGGAGGCCATCGCTAGGTGGTTGCTAACTGCATTCTTGTTGTGCTCCCTGACCAGGCTGCCCACCCCTGGGGGACCCTGGCGGGCGAAGCGCTAGGTCCTCGCGAGCGGGTGCGTCACTTAGATCCGTACTGGTCCATGAACCTTCTGAAAAGCTGAGACGCAAAGTGAGTCGAACAGCTGTGTGTAGTGCTCGGACCTCGTGTAGTGTGTGCTCGGACGCGTTTTCTCAACGGGACGCTTCGTGTTTGTTTGTGTTTTTTTGTTATCAACGCGAACATGATGAGGTCCAACTGACCGGTACAAGTAGGGTCTATGGAAGAACTCATTCGCTATATGAGCCCCCACGAAATTATGTAGGCAAACTTGATTTTGTATGGATGGCCATTAATCTTAAAGGTGACGAAGGTACTCAGACCCAGAGGTGGTCTCTGTTTTGTGCAGGCATTCATCAAGAGCACAAGGATGCGCCAAAAAAGTGAGTGCAAAACAAAAACAGGTCAGTGAAGGCTTCTTGATGTGGATTAGGGCTCAAATTTTCAGGACATGTTGGCTACTCAGGCTGCCCAGGGCCTCACTGGTAGAAGGAGAGCAAACCTTGACCTGTTGGGTGAAGACCAGTCTTAGTTTTTGATCCACATCCATATGGGAAAAGCCGCGGCTCCAAGATCGCTTTGCAAGCTGCTTGTTCTTGGTGAAAACCACTTGTGGGGCTGCGGTCAAGCATAAAGAGAATGGTCTTGATGTCCAACAATTCCTCATACCCTCATCCTGGCAGTGGAAAAGTAAAAATAAATAGCTCTTTTTGGATGACCATCTTTCTCCACAAACAGGTGGCGAACTCCACTTCCAGCTTTCCTCGGAGTGTCATTCCTCTCTTCAACAGGTTCACGTTTCTGTCTTTGGATTCTTTATGCCCTAAATCTCCTGTCCCACATACTGACAAGGTAGTTAGACCCCCCTGCCACCCCAACCACCTTCTGAGGATGTAGGACAGGAGCCTAGGAGTTAGACCTCTTTGGTCTTCCCTGTGACAGGGCCTACGAGCACAATCGATCTGCCGGGAAGGTTCCCCTTTCAACTATGTGGTCAAAAACTGGCTGGCAGCTGGATCGAAGACTTGTTGGGGTTGACCAGCTTGGGAAAGGATCAGCAGTCTCACCACTCCGAGGTTTCATGTCAACCACCACCACGTTTGACGTTTACCAGTATTATCAGGTCTTGAAACCATCGTGGCCAGTGGATGTTACGTCGCCCCCCGAGATTCGGATGAACATGCTCCACAACAAAAACAGGTGGGAGTTCACTCCACCAGCTCGGTCGACCACCGTCGACACCTGTGTCGACTCTCAACTAGCCTCAAACGACTTCGTGTCGGGTCAACTGTCGACTCACGAAATCAGGGGATGCCGAACGAACGGAGGTCGGAGTGGGGTGCCCCTGTCACATCCACGGCCCCTGGATGGGACGAACCAACCATCTAACCCACCCCGTGACTCCCGTGGAATTGCATTCTTTTTGGAGCCCAAAGTCCGGACTCTATAGGGGAGCAGGTCTGAAGATGTCTAAAGATGTCAGAGACTCACATCTATGCGTGACTCGGTGACCTCTGAAAGCACCCACAGTCGATGATGAGGACCTCAGGATTTGGGATTCAAGTGCTTGGAACCTCTGCCCGGCAGAGGACTACCAACGACCACTCAGTACCAACGGACGGATAACATGATCAACAACCCCCCCGAAAATTTCATCAAAGGGCCATTGTCATGGGTCCAAAGGCCATTAAAGCCCATCGATGCCAACACGATGCCAACACAAGGCCAGGCATAAAGCGTGCCTGCCGGCGCCTGTGCCTGCCTTGATCCGCTGCTTCAACGAGATCGGACCCTACGGACTCCGACTCCGACTCCGACCGGGGCCCGACCGGGACGGTTTTGGGGGTCATGGGTTGAGACCCACTCTGAACCCATCGAGACAAAGGGAGGGACAACCACGTCGTGAAGAAGATCCGCGACATCAAGCGAGTCACCTCGTGGCACCTCGTGTTGCACCTCAGTCCTCTGGGCCTGCCAGCTGACGTATAGACATGTGTCTGGGGCGAGGCAACATCGGCCAAAAGCTGGCCCAATGCCGGTCAAACACCCGGAGTTTCTGCGGAGTTTCTGCAATCAAACCGTCTCCAACCTGGGTCAGATAAAACATATTCCCTGATCAAAGGAAAACACATACTGAATACCATTATATTACTAAAAAAACAGTTTCGTTAGGTATGATAAATACCATTCATATCCATTCATACGAATACCTGAATTTCAGCTCCACCATGATCTTTGGGCTTTGGCTCTAACATGCTAGCTGGCCAAATCCTGATTCTATCAGCTTCGGCAGGCACAACACGGCCCCTTCCTCGTCCCAACAGTCCTGATTGCGGTGCTGCCACAAGAACCTGCGCGGCCGGTCGTCGGCTTCAAGTGTTAATATCTGGGAATTGAAAAACTAAAACTGTCAATTGTAAAGCCATGTAGGGTCTGCAGCACCAGAGTCCTCTCCTTTCTCATCATTTCATTGAAACACAACCAGGTGAACGAGCACCCCAGCTGCTGAAAAAAACCTCCGCAGCTGATGAACAGAATCAGGCTTCTCGAGGAATCATCTTCCAAAACAGAAGATCCACTGCATAAAAATTCATCCTGAAAGCCAATGCTGACTCCCCTACCCCTGTCGGAGCTTGACATCCAAACTGATAAGTCCCTCAACATAAACAAGTTTAACATAGTTTAAGGGAGATAGGGAGCATTCTGCTAAGCTGAGTGTTTTGCAAAGCACAGTTTTCCATATTCCCTTGCGGCGAGCGGATGGCTTCCAACTTAAATGGCGCAACCAAAGTTGACCCCCAAAAAACACATATCCACCATTCGAGAGGCCACATCGCCAAGACAATTGAGTAGCTCCCTGGGTTTCCAACAACAATTTGGTTATACTGCACCACAATAGTCAGGGTCGACCATTCTTTTAAGTGGAACGATACTCCTCACTGCATTAATCACTGGATGCTTCAAAAAGCGAAGACCGGTGCTGTCTGCCCAAAGGCGAACGGGAGGTTTAGCCGACCGAGACACCCGAGGTCATCGGATGAGATCGGATGGAGCATCGGGGAAACCTCAAGTAAGTGCCTCTTGCCCCTCCTGACATGGATTGAAAAGACAACCTCTTCAAAAACAGGGGTGCGTAGTTATGATGGTTTCTGAATCAAGAATCAAGAGTCTCCACCTGGCCCAGAAGTTCGAAGGTTGGTGGTTGATTCAAGGAGTCAATGTAGGCGAAATCTTCCAATCCCAAAGCATCTGGGACATATCCTTGCCCTGGACATTATCCTTCAACTCCCCTCTTGTATCGTGTTCACTGGGCAACACACCACCGGAACAAACAACCATGTAAACAGGGTACTCCCAAATGGTGTGGAATCCGTTGGACTCAACGTGGCGGACTTAACCTCTGAAAATACACCGGTCTTTCGCATTGGTCCAATCATGTGTTGCTGCGAAACCTTTTTTTTCTGGTACCCTGGTACACCAAGCAACGTTTTGTCTTTTTCCCTTGGCTCCCCAAATGCAGACCCTCCAAAAACTATCTTCAACCCACCTAAAAAATTGCCAAACCAACGTGTTCGACATTGCAAACCACCATCGAAACACAGGTGCCTGGTGAACTTCTCGGACGTCGCGTCCCACAAACGCAAGACCTACGGCATCGCGGTATCGAAGATCTTGCGGCGCTGCTGAGCTGGGAGCAAAGGTGATGTGTCTGGACATCAAAGGACCGCAGGGAAGGAAAAGGGTTCGACAATGGATTAAGTACACTCCTTGGAACTATAACATGGAAGTGAAAAATGGTCCCTTGGAAGATCCTCTTCATCTACAACCACAGGGAATTCAACTATTCCACTTCCATGTGCGTTCCAGGAATATTAGGCTGATTATTGGATTGCAGTGGCTCAGTTTCAAAATCCCCATGCCCATCCCAGACACTCCGGGTGTGCCATATATGGCATACAGGGAGTGTCTGGGCATGCAAACCTTTTTTTGGAGAGGGCATCGAACTCAACTTGCTGTCAGCCACACGCCAGTTGATTTAGACTAATTTAGATGGTACATGGGTCAGAAACACAAAAACACAACCCTTCAGAGGGAGCTTTGGAAAGAAACACAAAGAAAGGATTGCACAAGGGACCTGCAATAGGTGATTTGATGGACAAAATAAGAGAAAAAAACAAGATGGAACACGTACTCGAGGCTTGGAGGTCATGACGGCCATGCCAAAACTGGCGCCAAGGCGGCCAGTATCCCAATAGACTGGTCCCACTGAAAGGAGTTCCGGTGTCAAATGCGCCTCGAACCCGGGGATGGGTGAGAACGCAAGGACCAATCTCGCGCGTTTATGGGCGTTGCGAATTCCCGGGATACCCACATGGGACACCTCCGAAAGGTGCCTGACGCGCAGGTACATTACCTGCCGGTGCTTGGAAAAGTTCACTGCCCAAAGGATAGCGCGCACGGGTCTGCGCCCTGCTGCGTATATTCGTGGATATGCAAAGGAAAAGTCCTGTGCCCAGTCTGTCCACGGTGACCAGCGAAAGATGTGAGGTATTCCGATTCCAGGTCGTCGCACTGAGGGTCTGCGTGGTTATGAGAAAACCCGGACCATAGCCCGTGCAGGCAAGAAGTTTGTCCGCATTGGTTAAGGCTCTTCGCAACCTGCTGACGCCCAGAATCGGCGAAGTTCACCACAAAACTCCACCAGCTGGAAAAAAGAGAGTTCACGAACTCCTTCCCACCGCGCACCCCTTCTTCCTTGCTCGTCTCATCTTCTTATGGCTCTTGGCTTTCCGGTGTTTCGTTCCGCTGCGCCCTTTCTTCGACCTCCGTTTCGTCTGAGTGAGGAATTGAACTGCCTCGGACACCTGTGCCGAGGGCCTGGGACGATGACCATCATCAGATGATCCTTCCTCAACTTCAGGCCTAAGAAGCGAACATCGATAGCACTTCTCTCGAAAACACAGATTGCCGGCCCAGCAACGCTCGCACCACCAAGAATCTGGTTCCTCCAGCGCGCGGCTCAAAACCGTGACGATTCTGGCCCTCTTTGCGGCCTTTCGGGTGTTGGGGCTCATGCGGCGGGGCGGCCCCGCTGGAGCATAGCTGCTCATGCACCTGCGCCAGTGCAAGCCACACTTTTCCCCCTTCACCCATCCTCCGCACGAGCTCCGCCTTCGGCGGATTGACGGTTCGGCACGAACCACAGATCCAACTACCGTCATACCGCAGCTCGTCCAACCCATCATCTGCAGCAAGCGGGTCATCGTCGACCCTGCTTGTTCCTTCTTCTGACGCGCTCTGGTGACAGCGGGCGCTACCTCCTTACGGTGGTCCGCCGCCCGGGCCCTACTGCGGGCTTGCCTCTTGAGCACCTTGCGAGTGACCTCGGCTTCTCTCACCCGGCGCAGGGTGGGCCAGCATGTCTGAAAGCATTTGGAACTCCAATTTTAACTCAATTCTAATTTAGTTTAATTCTATCTAATTTAGTTAATTCTAATTTGTTACTAGTAGTAAGGCACTTGTTACTACTAGCGCGTGGCACTTGTTTCTACTAGCTTCTTGTTGGGTAAGGTGAAGCCCGGAAACTCCTCCATGTCGGGAAGCACGGACTCCCTGGACAAGCGCCGGCTGTGTGGAGCGAAAGGCTACAAGGGTCTCGATCGATCTCGCAGCGCGCTCTGTGCGTTGCACAGCTAATGCAACCTGCATTGCACTGTGTAGCTGGTTCCAGGCATTGGACAAGGATTGACAAGGATTGAAAAACGGATCCTCTCACGTCAGGAGAAAGATTTCCGTATCCGTGAACGCCAATCCCAATCTGACTGAAATCATCATCCACACTTCATCCTCCCACGTTTCCATACGTTTCCTCGCTATATCGCACGAATCTGACATGGCATGCTTCCGCCCAAAACCCTCTCCAAAAGCTTCGCCCAATGTGAGCGCCATAGCGCCCAACCCCGGTCGGTTGCCAACGATGGTTGCGAACGCTACGACGACGCTACTCCCAGACCCCCAGAGTTAAACAAGAACCAAAACAGCTGGAGCGAAGCCGGGCTACTTTTTGGGGGGGTGTTTGGTGCTGGATTCTTTGCATTCCGCCGGCTCCTTGCCATCTTTGCCATAGGTGCACAGCGAGCGGTTCCTCTTTGAGGGATTCCAGGCCCACCACTGATTTCTCTTCCGTCGTTTACTAGGCAACAAAATCAGGTCAACCTTTCTCGTTATGGCTATAGGGTCCTTGCTATAGGGTAGATACTTGCTTCACACAGCAGTATTCCAAGGACGAAGCATTGGAGATTTTGAGGCATCATGGCAATCGCCTTCCGGGGCTTACGATGTTCCTGTCTTCTGTGCGCTGGGATCGGTGCTCAAACATTGATCCTGCCAAAGCAATGGCTCGCCCCTCAGAAACGGGCGACCTTCTTTTCGGGATGTTTTTTCCGACGCGTTTACGCGTTTTGGGATATTTTTCCGCACTGTTTGTGGTCAGGGTTGCCACAAAGAGAAAAAGAAAGAGAACTAGCGCAGGAGGCAAGGAACAGAAGAGTAGAAGGAGAAGGAGAAAAAGGAACAGGAGGAAAAGAGGGAGGAAGAGAAGGAGAAGGAGAAAGAAAAGGAAACAAAGGAGAGAGGAGAAGGAACATGAGAAGGAGAAGGCTCCTCCCGCTGCATTCTTGCAGATCACAATACAGTAACCACCAGCCATGTGAGAATGGTAGCGCTTACCGGTAAGTTTGAAATATATAGATGCATGTCCATGCATGCATATAATATCTGTGTACGTGTACGTATGTAAGCTTGTCTATGTATGTATGTATGTATGTATATCTTGTGATTGGGGTAGCAATCACACTGGTATCGGGTCTCTCTCAACAAGCTCAACAACAAGCCGCTTCCCAAGCGGTAGCGCCAAACCTCTTTTCCACACAACCAGGTCCTGCAAGCGCGTCCTCGTGCTATGGCTTCGAAGGCCTGACAGGCCGCGCCCGCCCACCCGCCTCGGGGCCCTGTCCTTGGGCCTGAAACAGGCCTGGCGGTGAACGAGCATCCTGACACGGTGATGCGAATCCTGCGGCCGAAGGTGGTCCTACGAACATGTGTGCATTCACACTCCCAAAATTTTCTCTATCTCTGAGAAAATTGTGAATAGCACTGGTTCAGCACCTTCGCTCTGAGGATCCACTTCTCTTTTGAGCCACTTGATCCGATCTCTGGCTGAAGCTCTGGCCTTTAAGGTCGATTGCTCATCGGACAGCTGGTATTGGCCATGCTGGAGCGTTTCTCTTTTAAAAAATGAAGCCTCCGTCTGTTTGGTCAAGGCGTCGGCCAGTTGGGCGCCACTGGCAACCCATCGAAGACGAATGCCTTCGGATAACAAGTCCTTTATTGCACGTGCTTGGAGTTGGGTGCGGAATTCTGTGCAGCTAGGGGTGGCCGTACGCGTAGTCAGGTCGAAAAGACTCTTGCAGTCGGTTATTGCTACATCTTTGATTGTTGGTGCTGTTATTGCGTGTGGTATTCTTTTCAGGGTTTCTTCTGCCCTTTTCCAGTCGTCAGATGGCTTACGCAGCCAGTCCCAAAACGGCCGTAGCCAGGACACTTGATCAAGGACGGACGACAAGGACATCGTCTCTGCTGCCAGTGTGCTGGTGACAACCTTTTGTATCTTTCTGCATCCCCATGAGATGGGACTTATGGGACAGCTAAGATTTTGATCGATGTTCTGATGTGTTCCCAAGATGATGCGGCCGAAGGTGGTCCTACGAACATGTGTGCACTCACAATGGATGTATGTATGTATGCATGCTTGGCTGTCGTGATGCGCTGTAGCAATACCATCAATAAAAAGAGCGGGAGGGGGGGCGGGGGAGGGCGCAGCGTCTCCCCCGCAATGAAAACAATGTGTATATATATATATATTATATATATATATATTGAGCGTCCCCGCGCTGAAAAACAAATCACCAAGAGTTGTTTTTGTGTCCAGGTCCTTTTTTGTGTAAAGTTTTTGAGGGTAAAACGATTTGCAGCCCAGTCGCTTGCAAACCGGTTTGTTGGCGTTGTTTTGAGTGACCTGCTTAATTTTAAAAGGCGGGAGGGGTGCAGCGCCTCCCCCGCAAAAAAACAAAGTATAGTGAGCATCCTGGCACTGACACATTGCTCCTTCCTCCCTTCCTCCCTGGCTTCTTTGCTTCCTGGCTTCCTTGCTTCCTTCCTTCCTCGAAGACAACAGAACCTAGAAAAAAAACCCAAAAAAGCATCCCACAGAAAATGGGGTTCCCTCAGAAACTGATTCCACTGATTCCCATGTACCCACACCACACCGAGCCAAAGCCCAGTCCTCGTGTCGGCTGAATCCCTGCCAAAGCAACGCCTTGGCTCACGTCCACGCACGTCCAAAACGCCGACGGCTGCGTCCCGGGCTACGCCGCTCGGTCTGATTCTCAACGTGACGACGTGACACGAAGGTGAAGAATGAGGTAGAAGCAGGTTCAAAAACAATATGTAACCTATATCAAACTATATAAACAAATAATCAACATGATATTATATTATTGGGACCAGACTTTCCTTCCTATCATTAGGGAAAAATGGTGCATTCGTCATTGAGCCATTGGCCGGTCAAAGCGATTTCTTGATCTTTCAAGAATAGCGAAAGTACCAGATCTTGGGATTGCCCTCGGTCCGGCGAACGTACCCGTCGCGTGAATGTTTCGCAAACATTGGTCGAAAAGGAAAGGAAAAAAGGCCCGTATACGGAGATCTCCGTATACGGGCCTTTTTTCCTTTCCTTTTCGACCAATGTTTGCGAAACATTCGGTACAAAATCCAACGTGGTTCGTTCCCTTTCTCAATAGTATATAAAATATATATAAAGAGTATAGATGGTAGACAGGAATGAATCTTGGAAGTTGGTACTGCACTTACTTTCCTTTTCACCGGTGTTTGTGGAAACGACGGACAAACCGCCTCTCCATCTGGGAGAAGCCTGGCACACGTGAAGATCACACATCAGCCCTCCAAAGCGGTGAGAAGGAACTTCTGAACTGGTCGACGGTCAGGTCAGTGTTTTAAATAGGGAAATTCTGTCTTTGGATCACCTCAACCAGAGGTGGGTCAGGACCCCAGTTGGACCATCACAACTACCATCCCAGTTGGGTACTTTAGGTTACAGGTCCTATATGAAAACAGTACAGGTTTGGGTACTACTTTAGGTTTGACCAGTTACAGGTCCTACCATCCCAGTTGGGTACTTTAGTTAGGTCACTTCACCTCTGAAAACGTCTTTGGACTTCCGTCAGTCCGAAACACCGAACGCACGAAGAAGACCCGGCCTCGGACTGAACCAGCAAATCCAACATCTCCTGGCGACGCTGCAACGACGCGGTCTTCAGGCCCAATGAACGCCCAAACAGACCACACAAGAACGGCTGCACGAACAAAGCCAGGACTTGACAACAACACGGCAACCTACCACCAGTTTTCGCAACTCCAAGTCAAACGTCAAACGTTGTTTTCGCCGCACCACACGGCCCTCGTCCACCGTGTCGATCGATGTCGGACGACGGGGCAAAGAGGACGGTTCGAATTCGAAGATGGTCAGCGTATGTGTTGGATTCGTCCCCCTTGGAGCTGAGCCTTCTTCTCCGATCCGAGTCCGAGAGCACGGATTCCGGCCCGGCTGAGGCACCCGTTGGTCTTCGCCTTTCGATCTCTTCAGATCCGGAGCTTCGATCCTCTGTGCCGATCGGATCGTTCGGTCGTTGCAAAGGCACGGCAAGTCTTCAACTGCCTTTGTGCACGGCAACTTGTTCCAATCATCACTGAATGGTCCTTTGGTTTCTCAAACATCACCTTATTAATTAGATACTCAAGACAGTCACTGTCCTGACGTTTGCGCTGAGTTTGCTGCGATCTTCCTCGCAAACAGGTTGCTTCATGGCAAGATCAGGTTCTGGTTCAGGTTGCTTCATGGCAAGCGTCACATGCTTCCATCCTGTTCCTCGCTCGAAAGATCCTCTAATGGCATCATATTCGCCGAGGTCGATCACCATTTGACTCTCTGGCACTTGCTCTGCCACAGAGAGTTTGGATCACGTGTCATCATCTGCTTGATTGAGCTTGCTGAGGGTCACAGGATCCATTTGCGCTCAAGAGTAAAACTCTTTCACGACACAATGGTTTTTCCATCATGTTCCTGTCCAAGCCAGTGATGGTGATGAACCAGGTGGTCCTCCGTTGAAACAAAAGACCAACAAAAGGCAAACAAAAGACAAGGAAAAGGCCGACAAATCGACAAAAAACAAACACACGGCCAACACTATTATATTGAAAACAATTCAAGACGAACGTTAAAGAACAAGCAAAAAACAAACAAAAGACCGACACAAGGCCAACAACATTCAACCAAAAGGCAAACAAAAGGGCCAACAAGACGTGCTCAACAGGGAAGTGGACCGCTTTTTTTTCAGCGCGCTTGTGCGGACATGGATGAATGGATGGTTTTATACCGAAAATTGTGGGATTCTCCCATGTTCTGTTTTGAACATGTTCTCCTTTTCTATTGAACATGATGTTGGGACTTTGTTTTCTCCCATGTTCTAGAACTACACCCAACGTATTTTGTCCAATGCCTGCGGGCCAACCAGAAGGGGCGAAATGTGCCAACCGACCACCGGACAGGCAGGTTCGGGACGCTCGCCGGCAGCTCAGCTTCGTTCGGCGGATCCGTCTGTGGTGTGGTCGCCCTTCCGGTGAGTGGATGAGAGGATGGGATACCCCGGTGTTGTATAGCGATCCGAACCGTTATACGCTCGGGGCTTGGCAGACTGTGCCCCAAAATCATCACGACTTGCACCAAAGCACCCGACTCCATGGAACTGCTTGGCAGATATCAATTCTGACTGGTGCGTCTCGCAGGGAATGAGGGAATGAGCCCCCAAAAGAATCTCTATTGGGGGCTCATTCCCTTATTCCCTACTAAGCACCAGTCAGAATTCCGATATCTATTCCATCAATTCTGGGATGTTTCAGAGTGCTTGATTGGTGAACCCAGATGTTTCTCGAACTCCCTGAAGAGTGAACTGTATAGTGAACCAAGAATTAATTACGCGCTTTGGAAGACCCCCGAACATCCAGCACCAAGCAAACCTGCGTTTTGGTACCTTCCACCGCTTTTGTGCTTGCCACTTCTATGAACGAAAAAGAACGTCTTTGGTTCATCATGTCCTTCTGTAAAAACCTTGACATGCAGGAAGCCCGTCAGAAATGCTTCCCAATCCCAATGTATCAAGATAATAAAGGCACGCTTTCCCAAGCAAGTCCCGAACAAGAATCCGGGCTCAAACCGGTGGTTCGGGCTTCGGACAGTCTGGACGGACTGTCTGGCTTCGTGGTATCCACGTGCCACCCACCTCCTCCCACCCATATGGGAATTGGACAGTGGTATCCTCAGGATCGCATAGCTTCAAGTAGAAATCCTCCAGCAACTCCCTCAAGTCGATCCTCAGCTGAAGGAAAGGTCTCCACCGCTTCCACGATTGGTGGCGCTTCGTCCGAGTTTGGGGGCGCTGGAAGTGGTGAAACATGGGTTTTCACCCAGCACTGATGAACGAAGACAGAACCACTTGGGAGCATCCCCTCAAGAACTCCGCCCTCTCTCGACTGTTCTCAAGAACTGTGCCTACATGAACCGCGTGGCTTCGCCGTTTACTGTCGTCCTCACGGGGATGTCCCCTCCAGTCGCCGTGGCTTCCCCTTCACCGCTGGGTGGGGCTACTATGTCTCACCATGGTGATGAACACAAACCACCCTAAGCCTTCAAACGAAGAAACAAGCATGGTGGACCTAGATAGCTTTGTCGTGTAAAATCCTTATAAGATGTAGCTATATATATATATAAGCCATGCTTGTTCTTCGACTCAGGACCCTCCTCGGACCAAATGGGGCGTCGTATCGGCTTCGGGCAACGGGCGACTCCTGGCCCCATGAGGGGCCTGCGAAGACTCGCAGCCAGTCACATGGAGTTGGGTGGTGTGTAGTCAGTCCCATCCAGTGAGTGGCTAACCTCCAACCTCCAACCCTCGCACCCGGAGAGTGTATTCTCCTGGAGTCTCTTTTTCGAGTGGACCGATCACACAAGCAGCACATGGTTAGGAAGAAAAGGAAGACAAAAAGGAACAAGTCTCTGCATGCCCATTATGTGTTGTGTTCTGCCCTTTTTCCCGCCACTGTTGTTTTTGTGTGTTTCTACTAGCGATGGCCTCCAACCACCTAGCGATGGCAGTCAACCCGCTGGTCGGCTTTGGGGTTGACCCAGTATTTGGTCGGAAAAAACATGCCAGACTCCCAAACGCGTCTCTCCAAGTGTGCCAGTATTGGTCTCTGATCAGTTCGGGTGGTTGAAAAAGGAAGTCTTTCTGGGGCAGCAAAGCCCGTTAGCCATGCAGTCCCGTTAGTCGTGTTTTTTTTTGCGTGGAGTCATTCGTCCGTGACTCCCCAGACTCGGTGAAGAGCCTTCATGAGGTGCAGTTCAATGCGAAGTCCAGGGAAAAAGCAACACATTGAAAGAAAACACCGCAGTGTTCAGGAAAATTGCGAAGTGTTCATCATCTAGTCAGACCTCAAAATATCGTCGGCTGGACATGACTGAACTCCGGATCCAATGCTTTCTGTGTAACCGAATGGGTGTGTGTTTTCAACAGGGGAAGTAACAAGAAGCAACTATAGCAACAAATGCATTGAATCGCTACTAGTAGCAAGGGCATTACTACTATAGTATAGTAACAAGAAGCTACTAAGTAGCTACATGATGCAATTGTATAAGCAGGGGACCTTCCTGGCCCCATGGGATTGGGTGCATGTACTTTCCTTCTTCCAGGGGGTCATTGCCTCCCTAGTTTAACCTTGGACGTCTAACACCATTTTGATCAATTAACGATATGTATTATATAAAATGGTTGATCTCGCTTTGTAATGGCATTTCTCACTGGATTTTCGTTAAAAACATGGTAAAACTAATGGATGTTCGTTAAAAAGCTTTCTAAAAAACAATGGTGGGCCACGACTCCCAGGGTTGCACACCCATTTGCTCGCCCCACGACCCACCGAAACGGCTGCTTCGCGGCGTTGGTCAGGACCCCCCACGGGGATTGGCACTGCAGGATGGGCTCGCGCAAGCCTCGAGAGGGGGGATGAGGGATTGGCACGTCGTGCACGTCTGACCTCATGTGCTGCCCCCAAATCCAGGTCACCACCTGCCAGAGGTTGAAGGACCCAATAGACTTATGGCCAGTTGGGTACCCCAGGTGACGGGTCCGATTTACGGTCACTGGATACCTCTCTTGGTGGAAAAAGAGTCTCCCGTCCACCTCGCCGCCGACCTCGACGCTCAACCCGAGCTGATCGAGTCGGGTGTGGACGACTGTTGATGACTGTTTAGTCATATGAGTAGGGTGCCTCCAAGCCTGGAGAGGTCACACCATGATCTGCCATGTCTGCCATGTGACCACGATCTGCCATGGCTGCTGAAACAAGAGCGCCAGCGCTCGCGCACGCGGAAGAACGAACACGGAGCAAAAAAAAAGGGGGAAACACGCAGCTCTACCTCCCAAACCCCCAGAGATCAACGAGAACCCTTTGCCCAGTAACAAGTGCACCGCTAGTAGTAACAAGTGCCTTACTGGTAGTAACAAAAAGCATCACGATCCGACCATCGGCCTTGAAGGATCCCGAACGCCAAGTCCACCAGCACGTGGCGCGGGTGCGGGTGCGCGCGCGGATCCGAGGACCTCGGTGCCGGTGCGCCGGTGTCGGTGTTTTCTTTGCGTAAAATTGGATCACACATATCTCATCTCTCGACCTGCAAAGGGAAAGCTGCTAAATATAATAACAATCTGACAGAAAAAGTATACTCAACTTCAACTGCTTGAACTGATTCAAGTCGTTTTTTTTGTGGTGAATTATCCAACAAACATGAAGTACGAAGGACATGGTGTCCGCAATGGAAGGACCGATACTGAGGGCCAAGGATATCAGTTCAAAGCGGTTTTCGAACAATCGAGAACATGGTCTCCTTTCCGAGCTCCAAAACCCATGCTCTCCTTCCCTCTCTCTCTCTCATCTGGCAGTGTGTGCAGAAAATGAACCATCTCAACATTCACCAGCAAAACACCCCCAGTTCTAAGAAACCACCCTTTGGTTGGAAGGATTACGGGCACTGCCCTGCAGGACCATCCCGGTCCATCAAGGTCGAACATGACCGAAGATACCGAAGTGGGTGGGTGCAGTAACCCAACGACCCAGTGAAGCCAGGCAAACCACCGTGGCTCGGAGTAGAACCATAGAACCAAAAGCACACGGACCGATAGAACCCTGGTTCCTGATATAGTGGTTGCCTGGTCTTTTACGGGGAAGGAGAGGAACGCATCGGCAGAACTCTTGGTGAATAAACATCCCTTTGACCAGAAATCCAGTTCGACTGATATACTTGTCCCTTTTGGTGCATCCATTCCGGAAATTCCCACACAACACCCGGAATACATGTTTTCTCCTGATTCTCTTTCCGGGTCGATTGGTCCTTCCCACAAGTCTTTGAGTCTTGGAGTTCCAACCCAAAAAGCGAATTCGACCTCTCAACTCCCTGCTCTGGGCGTGCTCACTCTCCGATGAGCACGTCCCAGAAGCGACGCCACACCGTGGACAGAAGCACCTGACAAGCATCGAACGAAACTCAGCTCAACCACCAAATTCGTTTTCCATTTTTATTGTCTTTGATAGTGACGGCCTCCACCCTAGGAGCGATGGCCTCCAACCTATAGTAGCAAGGGGAAGATGTTGACCTCTGGCCTCTAGTGGCCCTTTCTTCGAAGGCGTCTCAGAGGGTTGATACAAAAGGTTGGGGTTGAACAACTATGTTGGAGGGTTGGATAAATAGCCAGCCCTTTGTTCGAGCATGCGCCTGGTTTGGGGCACCCATCGATCCTTTGGACCAAGCTTCGAGGGAACACCCAACCCAGTAATTACATCACACCTTCGTTTCACTGGAACCGCTTGGTGGCGCTATGTCTTCGCGGGCCGTCACCGAAAAATATGATCCCGGCAAGAGACCCCAAACATGTGTGAGGTCTATAAACCATAAGCAAAAAGTCTAGAGATCTAGACGCATTGGGGTCCAGAGAGGTGATGGTGGTGATGAAGGTTGGGTTTGTGGTGACGGTGGCGGCGGGGGTGAGTGTGTGAGTGTGAGTGAGAGTGGGTGAGTGAGAGTGGGAGAGTGAGAGTGTGAGGGAGTGTGGGTGTGAGGGAGTGTGAGTGTGAGTGAGAGTGGGAGAGTGAGTGAGTGAGTGAGAGAGTGAGAAGAGTGAGTGAGAGTGAGAGAGTGAGAGAGCGAGCATCTGAAAGCACAAAGTGCTGCGCCTGCCACGAAATCTGCACTTCGAGGTTCACAAAGTGCTGCGCCTGCCACGAAATCTGCACTTCGAGGTTCACAAAGTGCTGCGCCTGCGACGAGAAACTGCACGTCGAGGGTCACAAAGTGCTGCGCCTGCCACGAGAAACTGCACGTCGAGGGTCACAGTGCCAGAGTGCTGTGCCTGCCACGAAATCTGCAAACGAGCCACATGACACGTCCAAAAGCATTCACTGCGCCTGTCACGAAATCAGAGCTCCTCGACGCTCACCTGTCACGAAAAGCCGACTTTGGACCACCAAAACACGAGGTTTCCTTTGCGACCCACGAAAAGTCATCACCATTTGCGAAAAAGCGCGCGGCACCACAACGAGAGCACAGTCGCTAGCAGCACCCGCCGCCGGCCCCCAGATTCCGCGAGCCTCCGCAGTCGAAATGCGCATTGACGATGTCGAGAGGCATGAATGCACCGTAAATAGCAGCGAATTAGCTGTTCACGCCCGCGCGCTTCAGCGATCTAAGCATCAACTGCTTTTCTCCTACCGTAAGAACCCCTAAGTGTGTCCACACTGCTTGGGGAAAAATGACGTCCATGACGATGGATTGAAGCACTTTGGTGGTCGCTTTGTTGTTAAAACCCGAGACAATCCTACACATGTTGATTGATGCTAATACCCAAGAGAAGGTACTTTAAGAACCATGCTTTCCTCAAAAAACCCTTTCAAAGCCAGTTTGGCTCAAAAGGGATCCTTGAGCCAACATGTTAGATTATGGTATAGTACCTCAATTAGATGAACATTGCAACCCAAGCGTTCCAAACTTGATGCATGATTGCATCTCTAATTAACTATCTTCTCAGAGATGAGCTACTCATAGCTACTCTCTATTCGACACTTCTCACACTCGCGCTTTTCCCTTCCTTCATCGAATATATGAATCTCTGCTGGTGTCCTCACAGGATTTGCGTTGGGATGCTTTTTCAGCACGCACCTCTCCTTCACGCACAGACACTCTGCATCTTTGGGTGATCTGCCTGGTCACACCAGGACAAATCCCTATCCAAACCTGAGGGAAAGGGCAGACCCTGTCACACAGGATAGCCCCTATCAGGAGTGGACACACCAACTAGGGTGGGCTGGGTGGGCTTTCAATGCAAACCCAAGCCTTCCAAACCTGATGCATGATTGCATCTCAAATTAAAAATCTTCTCACAGAGGAGCTACTCTCTATTCGGCACTTCTCACACTCGCTCTTTTCCTTCCTTCATCGAATCTATCAATCTCCACTGGCTAGACGGCTAGACAGCCTGTGTCCTCACACGATTTACGTTGGGATTTGTCTTTTCAGCATGCGCCTCTCCCCTCAGGCGCAGACAAGGCACTACCTACAGTCAATTCCAACGCACGCGGAAAATGATGAAGAAAGGAAGGCGGAGAAGCCAAACGGGAATAATTTGGTTCCAAAGGGAACCTTGAGCCAATATGTTAGATGAAGTACAACTAATGAGATGAACGTTGCAAACCCAAGCCTTCCAAACCTGATGCGTGAATAAATTTGCCAAACGGACTTCCAGGACGAACTTGCAAGTCCAACTTGCTAGTCTAGATCCTCCCAACCCCAAACTTGGACAACGCTTGCCCCCCAACCTACTAGCGATGGCTTCCACCCTAAGAGCCCAAACTCGGACAACGCTTGCCCCCCAACCTACTAGCGATGGCTTCCACCCTAAGAGCAATGGCCTCCAAAGCGATGGCCTCCAACCTTCTACTTGGTGGAAGGTTTTGGTCTATGGAATCTACAAATTTTGTAATTGCAGCACTAATGAGTGACAGCACATACAAACTTCTGAGTTAACTTGGAAAACTTACAACATGAGCATGGTTTAATGCTAAATTGCAAAAGTTATTTGTAAGTAATTTGATGTACTATATAAGTTCCATAAGTAAAAGAAAGGTTCAACATGGTTGGTTTCTGATGGGCTTTGTTCTGTTTGATGATTGTAGGTTTTTAAATGGATACTGTATGTTAAATATTTCTTGTGTGTTTGTATGTCAACGTAGCTGGTGCCTTTAGCGAAAGAGCGCAGACCTATACAAGTGGGCGGCTTATGGAGCCGCCAAAATTCTCTTCTATGGACATGAAGACAGCCAACGACTTTTTTTCCACAAGTGTTCTGTTATGTAGGAGGGCGACTCATGGAGCCGCCAGTCTCACTTAATAGTTCATATATAGTTTACGTATTCCAGTTTTTACTGGTTTCGTCTTGGTCGTATTTTCGTTCAATGGTGCAGGTTCATGTTGGACCTGGTCGTCCAAGGCGTTTTTTTTCGAGCTCGGGATAGAGAAAATGAATGCGCAAAGTTCTGAGAAAGTGTTCAATGTAGCGCGACAAGGTATAGGCATGTACAACTATGTCTAACCCTTTTTCGCCCACATTGACGTGTGTTTTTTGTTTTTTTGTGTTGGACCCGCTCCTTCCTCCCGCCTCCCGCTTGCCACCAACCAACTGCCATCAACCAATTAACCCCAACCAATTGTCACCAACCAATTGCCACCAACTTTTTTCTTCTACATCACTAAGCATCCTTTGCTCTGAAAGTGTTCTTCTTGCATCATTTGTGCATTTGCTCAGAATGTGTTCTTCTTGCGGCTCTGAAGGTATTGTTCCTTTTCAATTGCCACCAGCCAATTGTCACCAACCAAATTGCCACCAACCAAGTGTCACCAACCAGTTGCCACCAACTAACTGCCACCAACCAATTGCCACCAACCAATTGTCACCAACCAACTGCCACCAACAAACTGCCACCAACCAATTGCCACCAACCAACTGCCACCAACCAATTGCCACCAACCAACTGCCACCAACCAATTGCCAACCACAAATTGTCCGCTCCTGTGTCTGGTGAAATGGTTAAAATGTGGGGTTATCCGGTCCTATTTTTTGTGAGAAATCGGAGTTATACATGTATAACTCACACAACATAGAGTTATATCTGAATAACTCCAAACAATTTGGAGTTATACAGAGTTATACATTCCTATACCTTCACATGTTTCTTCTCGTGTCTGTGCGCTGAACCTGTCATTTGTGAAACTGTTATCCATTTAGGAATACGGCCCATTGGGCCGCACAAATTCTTCTTCAGCCCTTTGAGACACTTAGGATACACTTGTGTTGCGGCCCATTGGGCCACCTTTACATTGAATATCATTTGGCTACAGCGATAGCCCATTGTTGCATTTGTTTCTATTGTATTAAGGCTTTCGAGTTTGGGCAGTTTAGATATATAGCTGGCGAACCGACATGCCACCCATGGCAGCTGCATGCTCCTGAAGCATTGCAATTTTCCATTCATTTGTACTAACGAAAGCTAACACAAAACTTATATCTTCGTGAGCCGCCATCTGCAACATACGTGCTTTCCTGCATCTTTATGGTTCTTTCGCTTGAAAGCTCTCTTGTGGTTCCTCGTGTGGAAACGATGAGAACAGTTGTGTGTTGAAAAAAATCAAGAATTTACAAGTGTTGAAGCATGAAAAGGTTAATTTCCTAAGTTAGTTATAAGTTGTCTAAGGTATTTATTGACAAAAGCCTTTAACACATACTCATTCACACAACCACAAAAGATAACTTATAAAACTTGTAAAATCCATAAGTTCCTCCACTCACTTAGCTTTGTTACTCTTCTTATAAGTGTTTATAGCATGTATCTAAGCCGCAAAGTCTGGAATTGGAAGCCAAAGAAGATCAGATCGGCCTGAAGTCACCCCGCAACTCAGCAGTTCTGCTGGCATACCCAGGTTTAGCCGTTGACTGATGCAGCCTGTTCCTGCTGCCGCTGCTCTACCGCCAGGAGCCTTTGGCTGTGGTAGAACCAAAGGTTGAACAGTTTCAACTTTGTGTGCGCCTTCAGGCTTGGAGGCAGCCAACGTTGGTCCTTATTCAACTCGTCAGTGAACCATGCGTACTCGGCCCTGTGTGTTTTACTTGTCACAAGAGGACAAGTGGGCCGTGAAGAAGACCAGTCGCCACTGTCCGCTACTTAAGTAACACCACTCCGCACTTTCAAGTCCGAAGTCGGAGAGGTCTCACCGCCAGCGGACACGTTGCCAATCGGGCGGTGGTGGGAGTTTGGCAAGGCTTGGAGAACTTGGGCCGCCATCGGCAACTGCCGCGCGCAAAAGGCATTGACAGCTTGCCTGCGTTGTTGGTGACGGAGTCTCATCTTTCTTTTCGCCCCATTAGAGTAGAACAGGGTCAACAGAAGGACAGGAACCGACGCACAAGTCTGCCGAGAACCATTTCCTTCCGCTTACCTTTCTGATTTTGCCCTTGGGCCAGCTGTGTCTGTGCTGGCCACTTTCCGTGTTCTCGCGTTGCGCAAGAAGGGCAACGACACCTTCAGTCTCTATCTTCATCTCCTTCATTCTCTCAGAACTGATATCTTCCTGTGTCTGTGCAATGTTAGTGTGTCCAGTGAGGCGTTGGATCATGTCCAGGGGCATTTGGCCATTGACCAAATTGTGTAAGTGTAGGCAAACATGAGTCACCCTGGAGCGTCGGAACGAGTGTCCTCTGATGTTATGATACTTGGTTCCGACGAGATGGCCTGCAACCTAAGAGCGATGGCCTCCACCCTACTAGCAATGGATAGCCATGGCCTCCAACCTACTAGCGATGGCCTCCATTGTCTCCGCACATCTTCCAAGCCAGCAAGAACATCCTTCGGGTCGCTCAACCTCCGGGCACCCGCACGCCCGCAAAGAGCCGTTGGAAGGGCGACCAGAAGAGCGCGCCCGGCGGACACCTGACGATGATTTCGAGCGCTGTGGAGACCCCCCCGATGTGGAGAAACTGACCATCGACCCCAATGTGCCGATGTAATTACCCTGGGAGTCAAAGACTATACAAAGAAGGGTCTGTGGTAAATATACCAGGACCTTCCAACTCCGGTGGTTTTTGGACACCTCTTAACCTCTAGGAGGCCATTTATATGCTGGTATGAAATATATGCCAGTCACTATGCCAGTCCCATGGATGGTCTGAGATTGGCCGATTTGTTCGGCCGAGGCTCTCCTCGTTTCAGCCGCTGCAGTTCCACCAACCACGGCGCACGGCGACCGACCACCACGTCGACCTCCCCAACCGGCGTCGCGAAGCTCAGAACTTCTTGGGGTGCAACGGACGGTGCTTTTTGGGACTCCAGCAGTTCGAACATCGAGCAGCAAAAAACGAAGAAAAGCACCAGAACAAAAAACGAATGAAGAGGCATGGGCAAAGGCTTAGCTTTTGGCATGGCACGGCTTGGTCGACGATGTTTACTAATATAAGTTTTTCATGTTTTCCTCGTGGCATGGCTTTGCAAAAAGCCAAGAACAGGTCTCGAATGTCGACTCCTCGATGCCTCATCCGGCGAATGTCGAGCCGGGTTTCTGGAAGGTTTTTGAATGTTTTTGACTCTATTTTACCACTACCACAGACGTCCAGTTCGACTATATTTTGACCGACTGAAGTAAAGGAACGTCCTTTTTTTTTGGTCACCTGAAGACCCTTCCTTGTATAGTCGACTGGACTCCCACGGACCAAAAAACAAGGCCAGGGAAAAGCTTTCCTTTCAGAAGTCGATCCGAAGGCCGATCTTGTCTTGCTCTGCACTGTCCTATTGCGGGGGGGCGGTGAGTGAGGTGGACCTTGTCTTCCAGGCTGGTGCCGATGCTGATGCATGTGAAGGAAGGTCATTTCATCGCCTACCACAGAGCTTCGCCTAGAACTGTTCAGGCACATGATCATCTGGAACAGAACCTTCAGCAGCCAGTCGAACATGGAAAGTTTCCTCAAACAACCATTCCATCCCGAAAAAATAAATGGAATTAATGACCTTTTTTGAAATTACAACCCTTTTTTAGCATTGCGTGTTTCAAGATGGATAGTTTGTGAATAAACACTCAACAGCCCTGCTTTCAGGTTCCAAGTTCTCCTTCTTTTGTTCCTAATTGTTTTTCTCCGTGGGAAGAGGCCAACTGGCCCGAAACGAAGCAGGGAGATCTAGGACGATCTTCAATGTGTCGAGGCATCTACTTGCAGAACAACGTGTCACGGTTCCTTTTATGTTCCTATAGTAACTCATCAAATCCAAATTCAAAATAATGCATCTATAAGAATCTGGTATTGTTTGAAGATGTTTGAAGTCCCTTTTCTGGTGGGTCTAATTTGGGTCTTGCCTGAAAACTGCCCAGCCAAATCTGTCCATTGAACCACCTTTCACATCCAAGATCATCCAAGGCACCCTAGAGCAGCCAAGCGCATGCGCAGGTCAGGCCTCAACAAAAACGGATCCCATTGCTTCGGAAAGACAGGCCTGGGTTTAACTCCAGAGGAGGTGGTGGCAGTTCCAAAGAAGCTTTCCCAGCATTATCGAGTTTGGGCACGCCACGCTTGGAGCGTGTTGCATCGGAGAGGCAGAGACATGTCTCTGACAAAGGAACAGCGAGACGATCGAGATGGCGAACACTTACCCTAGGGCTCCAGTCGTACCTCCTCAGAAGGTATGACTGGACCCTCCTGGCACCCACCCCAGTCCCACCTTCGAAACGAAGGTACGACTGGAGTGTCTGGGCTTAACAAAGCGTCCGCCCCAGACTAGCTCCAGCCTAGCACCGTGATCGAACAACCTTTGAGCTATTCCTTGGAAAGACCTCGCACTACCGAGGCCAAGTGCCTTGCCATCAAGACGTTCCTTCATACTAAGGCCGGCAGCTTCTTGCAACATTCTGTGACACCAACAGGGCAAAGGCTTCATCCGAGCAGCACGCACGGGCAAACGGAGCACTACTTCATACTGCGGGAGCACTGCGAAAGGCAGGTCCGTTTCGTGCAGTGAGGTGTAGGCTTGAATGGCATCCTGCCGGCCTGTCCGGCTAGGTCTGGTGCTGTAATTACCCAGGCCCATTGGTTTGTAGGCTGCGCCAGGTGGAGCTTCTGCCAGTCTTTCTGGTCCTCCATGGGCCAGCACAAGCTGTCCGCGCGGACTCGGTGCTTCGTTGGACGATGCTTCGCTCGAAGGGATCGAGGCCAGGCCGTCCGCCTGTGGCGTGGTTGGCGTGGCGTGGGCGCACAGCGAAGACCTCTTGGATCTTGTTCCGCTCTTGGAATTCCTGGGTGTGGGTGATGGTGATTCAGCTTACGGGATTGATGCCTTAAAAACGCTTTGAGCAACACACCACGATACATCGCTGACGCTTTGAGCTTCGTTACAGATCGTCTGGTGAACCGGTGCGGATTGGTGCATTTCCAGCGCCAGTGTAAACCTGCATGGCCTCAACCTTGTCTTCAACCTTCGGACGTGAACCTTTGCGCGACCAAGCTTTGAGCGACCAAGCAATGCCTCAGGCCTCGTTTGCGCATTCAATGAGAGTACTCAAAAAGATCTGCTTGCAGGGCGTGGTTTGCTCCAAAGAAGTACGACCCTTCTTCTACACCAATTTCAAAGTCCATTAAAGACAGATTGTCTTTAGACGACCTGAGTCTGAGACTATAGGAATTTCCTTTACTTCAGTGGTGCCAATTTGGTCTTTGGACGTCTAGGGATTTTGGTCGTAATTTGCTTTTGGCACTTACAAACCCCACTGAAGAATCATGAACTGACATTGATGCAATTTAAAAGGTTGAAGGTTGAAGTGTCCCTGTCGAGACCCTTGCGAATGAAACACCCGTTGCCAACACATGCCACCTCCTGAAAGTACCTGCTGGAAGGGCTTTGTACCACCCAAACGCTCATGGGCCCTCATATGGAGGGGTCTCAATTCCCTAGGTTTTGAGGGACCAAGGGCTGTTTGGAGCGCTTGGGCAGGTCATTACTCTTCCGCATGTCTTTTGCTGCAGATGTGTTCGACTCTTTAGAGAACTCATCAGCCACACCCGTTGCTGACCAAGGCGCCTCCCCCCCGTGAACCGTGCTTCCTTCGGAATGGGACCACGAATGCGATTCGCGTGGCTCCAAGGCGCTCGTGAACTGCGAGAGCACAGTCCAGCAACAAGGCATCCTTGCCAAGTTCTCGTCGCAGCGGTTTGGGATGCGAATGGTCACACTCTCGACCTACGAGTAGAGAGATTGGATGGTCACACACTATGCACTATGTCATAATCAAATACGCGTGACCGTGTGACCGGATTGAATCCCAGGTTCTTTTTTTAATGTGGAATCCGAAAGAAACACCCCTTCAAAAACACTTCCAGGCTGGACAAAGTGTCCAAACGTGTCACGTCTGACTGGCCAGGCTCCAGCAACCTCCACGTGATTCTACCGGTCTCGGCGTGACATCGCATCTACCTAGTAACAAGGGCATTACTACAAGTATAGCGTTCCGACGCTACGTTCCGGGGCTCCTGGCATCGCGTTCGAGTCCGGACGCGAACCTGGCCTATACCCAGACATGACGAGTCTGGGACTGCCAGTCAGGACTGCCGAGAGTTCCGGCCAGGGGTGGTTGAAGTCGGGGCGTCTGTTTGGGGCGGCAGTCCGTCCTGGCAATCCCAGGTTCCAGGTCGTGTGTGGGTATATATGGCTGGCACCTGTTTTTTCTTCCCCCCTTAACCAAAGATAACCAAAGTATGTTCAATCACCACGCCAAATGGGTGGAGTCCATTGTGGAGTCCTTCATGTTCCTCCGGTAGGGAACCAAAACGGCGAGGGGCCCGGACGTGCTTGGCATGTCCGGTCAGACCGGACGAACACAACCCGCAAAGGACCGGAGATGACCGGAGTGACACATACACCTGGTGTATCCTGGAGGTCGACTTGCGGTGGAATGGTTGACCCCCAAGTCGAGCAGATGGGCCCCAAAGTTTGGGAAAGGTCTTTGAAAGTGGCAGAGAGGAGTATTGAACACCATCGAAAAACATATCGATGGGTCCCACTGATGATCCTTGATGCCCAAGTAGGATCAAACCACTATCCCTGATGAGTCCAGTCATGACATTTTTTGCCCCTGATGGTAGTGGTGGATTATGACTACCGGGTGGAGTAAAATGAGTCATTGGAAGTTCTGGGATGGGAGTCAAGGCTCCAAGTGAGACGACGGATTGGTAGGTCAAGCCAATCGTCATGTTGGTAGAGCGGGCGATTTCCGTTGGCCAAGTATGGGCCTTGAGCACTTATATGCACATCCATGCACACCGTCCAACAGCCCTCAACAATAACGGATTTCCCGATCTGGTGCCGGTACCACCTGATCTGGTGGCTTGCATTGGATTGAGCTCTCTGGTGATGCTGAGCATGATCTGGTTATCGGTTACATATTCCACATGACATATCTATGCACCCTGGACAATCAGAGGTTAAGGCAAATGACTTGAACATGCCGTGTGTTCCAACAATGTTTCTCAACATGCCACCTGATCCCGACCTGGTCTAGTCGATGTATATAATCGGTTTGATACAGTGCCTTCCCACCTGCGCGACCCAACAAACTCGCGCTGTCCTCAGCTGGCCCCTGTGCCCAGCTTCCTGCACATCGGCCAAGAACCAACACGATGTCTACCGGAGTGGAAGGGCCCTCAGGGAGCGGACAAATCGTTTAGCAGTAACAGGTGCCTTACTACACGAACCTGTCTGGGAGTGGTCCATGACCATGACACGACCGCGCCACATCGGCAAACAAAAACACGACCAACATCGACCATGATGGGTGGTTCACCCACGAACAACCCAGGGGCAAGGGTTAGTGGTGAACAGCTCTTCGGACTCCGAAGGGAGTCGACTCCGTCGACTCCGCCAGGAAGGACCGAGTCGCGTCGCTCGACTGAGCTTCGCACCGTTCCAATGGCTTTTATACCACCCAGACATGACGAGTCTGGGACTGCCAGTCCGGACTGCCGATCAGTTGGGGTGGTTGAAGTCGGGGGTCTGTCTGGGGCAGTTCGTGGGATACATTGACCCCTTTCAAACGTCCCAACTGATCGGTCGGTTGTGTCTGGGTTACAATCTTAGACGGGCCTGTTTCTTCCACATCTTCCACGCCCAAAAACTCCGCATCCATTGGAACCACCCTCGCACTTCCAGCACCAGTACCAGCTCCAACTTGGCCTACGCAGCACTTCCAGCAGTTCCAGCACCCCACTTAGAAGAACCACCCTTGAACTCACTTCAAACTTGGCCTTGCGGTCCAGGAAGCTGGAGCAAAACAAACAAACAAACAAACAAACAAACAAGGGACCAGCACAAACCCCAGCCTTAAGCCTTTGAAGCCTTTGTCCTCACAGTCCATTCGCGGAAACTCGCCCAAGCTCGCCACACCTTGCTATGCACGTTCTTCCTGCCACCACTGCTGCGACCGCCACCCCGCGACGAAAAAACGCGAACGAACCGAGCTGCGATCGCCCAGCCGACCGGGGAATTGCCCGAAGTAGTCGCGGTAGGCGCCGTTGGCGCTGCTCGTGGCCAGGGCCTCGGAGGGAGCGCGTCTTGGTGGATCGAGGCCGGTTCGATGCGTGGAACAGGTTCATGTTGGAGTGAGTTTCAGTGAGGGAAAGAAAAGATGGATTTCCGAGATGTTGGTGTTTCCCCCCCACAAAAACCTGGGAAAAAAACACATGGGAAACACACACACACAAAAATAACACGAGAAGATTTTGAAGGTTCTCCACTGAATCCTGGGTGAGGAGCATGTTGGAGCGGTGAAGTTCAACACGAATGACCGCCCCGGAACATGGAGGTGGCTGCCGTTGGGGCCATCTACTAGCGGCCGCCTAACCAACGGGCAAGAAGGTGTTCTTCGTCAATCTGTCACAGAAGCTTTACTTTACCCATGAGGCCAATGAACATGAATGGGCAAGTTCAAAACGAAACGAAACATCGTTCAAGTCTCAATACTCCTGGAACATTGCCGCCCAAACGATCTGCGTTGCCTTCCCGATGAGTTTGTTGCTCAATATGCCCCCAAAGCAGGCAGCCGCACGTTCCAAAAAGCGGAATTCCTTCAGCGGAGTTCCTCAGCGCCCGCACGTGGATCACCCAAAAGGTCTCCTCTTCCCGAAACGTCGCCTCCATTGCGAAGTGCATCGGCGGGAAGTTTCCCACGTGGAGCACACATGACGCATCGCGAAAAGAAAGGGTTTTTGGATGGACAAAGTGGTACGTGTCCCTCCTTCCTGGGAATCACTAAGAGTGAACATATTTCGGTGAGGTTTTACTGATGTGGCACAGCATGAAGAAGTGGATGGAAAACAGGAAGACGAAGGGCCAAGGAAGTTTCTTTCAAATAGACGCGTTTTTATATGCCTCCAAAGCCAAATGCACAGTCGACCTGAACGATTTGTGGGGCTTGAAGGCTTCCTTGCCCTACTCTGTGCAGGTTTCCTTGCCCAGACTCCGTGCGTTGCCGCAAGACGGAGGCACATGATGTGCGTTCTTCTGCGGTGCCCGTGGGTTGTAACCTCCCAACGACCATGCGCGCTTCCACCACTGACGAACAAGAGACGTTTCTCCCAGAAATTCCTCCGCCTGAAACGTCGTTTCCCGACGTGGATCGCTCGTCGTTGCCTTTGCTTCGACTCCCTGAAAGCTCATTGGAGCAATTTCGTTGGCGATCCATTGGGGTACCAGGTTTTGAGCTTCATCCATGCTGTCCTCGGACGAATCCTCAGGGAGGATAGAACGGACAGTCAGTGCATGACAGGCAGTGCATGACTGACTCACCCGAGGCGAAGCGGCGCATTTGGTGTTTTTCCAGGCTAAGCGGTCCGTGCGGGAAGAAACATGCGGCGATTCGGTGCTTCTCAAATTCACAGGCGACCAGCTCAAATTTGCAACGAAGAACACTCCTCCTCCTATACTAGTAGCATTTTTGGAAAGGTGTTCAAGGCCTCTGTGGTCCACAAAAGAATGGTATACGAATGACGGTCCCATCTACCAAACACATTCACAAGTCTTCACGGCACATTTCTTCATTCTTGTTACTAGTAGCTACTTGCTCCTAGTAGTACGGCCAGGAGCCCCGATCGTAGCCTTCTTGCTCCGTTCGTGCGATGCCCTTTGCTCCTAGTAGCTTCCTTTATATACTAGTAGCTACTTGGTGTGGTGGTGGTTTCTTGGAGCTTTCTGAAAGCCCAACACGCGCCAAACCCGAATCCCGAAGCGTCTGGAAACCCGAATCCCGGCCTTGAGGTTTGAAACAATGAACACGTAAACATACGTAAACACAACCCATGTCTGACTTACAAAGATATTGACATATGACTTATTTATATGGCCATATAATGATATATAACTTGTATTTAAATAGGGAGACCTGGAACTAACGGGTATACCTGGTCTTTTTCCTTCTTTGAGGAGGTCCGTCGAACCGGGAGTTCTCCCTAATACACACCCATATGGATGATCGTCAAGCTCAATGCCGGAACGTGGCGCTTTTTTCCGCCGGAACCAGCGCGGGAGATACCATCTCCGCGAGAAGCTGTGGCGCCACCCCTGCACAGCCCACGCGCTCCTGGAGCTGACGAAACGGACGATTCGGGCTTCACGGTGAGCGGTCTGCGATGAGCACGGAGCACGGTGAGCGAGGACTCTTCAACGTGGTGAAAACACATCTTCTTTGCAATCCACGAGTGTGGGCGATCGCCTCCAAAACGTGGCAAAACATGACAAAACCAAACAGACTTCAACCACTGATATAGATGGTTGGTCAGGACATTACAACTAGATTTGCTACAACCATCAACTACAGTTTCTGTAGTTACGTGACGTGCATGAATTACTATAGATTTACTCATGGTTGCGTCAGCTGACCAACCCACTTAGCTTTCATTGACCGGGTCCACAGGAAGGACATGCAGGGGTCACAAGCTTTTGCCTTGCTCTCTATGAAATTGTTGAGATCAGAACACGCACCAACCTATGCAACCTACGCCCTACACATCAAATATGATCAGCTGGTTCAATTGGATCTGTACGTTTGGGTTCCACCCTGCGGCCAATCAGTTTCTTTCATCATGGCCAATCAGTTTCATTGTCAGACACCTTTTGTGGGCCAACTTACACAACTTACACCATTGGCCACTCTTCGTTTCTGTCTGATGTGAGTGGCACCGCGTTCTCACAAGCGTAGCCACAGGGACATCATAGGACAACCACCATGGACCGTAGCACCTCGCTACGCACCAAAGCGTTTCCGCCTGGGATGCCCAGAAATTCCCTGGGATGCGCCCGAAGAGACCTGACTGGTCGGTCCAAGACTGGAACTTCCCCCTCCACACAAATGTGCTGATCATTGACATTCATCACATGTATAGTTGTATGAACTTAATTCTGAGAATGTTTTTCTTGGGGCATAGATAACTTATTATGCTAACTTGAACACCTGCCGTTTGGACACCGCTCCCTCCCACCTCCCTTCCCGTCCGTTTGGACACCTCGTCTCGCATCGCACTCGCTCCGCGTCCGTTTGGTTCCCCTGTCCAGTGCATCGATCACGGCTTGGAAGGAAGCCGTGGTTGGCCTGGCCAGGCCAACGCCGCTTGGCACGTTTTCGCCCCAATTCCTCGTGAAGACGTCGTGTGATCAAACCAAGCAGCCAGAAAGAAAAGGGAACCAGAGTTTCGTTCGGTCTATGTGTTCAGTATTTTTTCAACCATTGGTTATCCTATAGTCTATAGTGATAATTGTATTATTTGGAGAAGTCATGTGATCAAGGCAAATGCACTGGATTTCTCTATTGACAACATCTACAAGAAAACCTGAGTGCGTTTGCCACATCCACCTGGTCGCGGTTGTATTCGGAAACTGGACGGTTGTATTCGGAAACTCGGCGGTTGTATTTGGAAACTCCACGGTTGTATTCGGAAACTCGGCGGTTGTATTCGGAAACTGGAACGGTTGTATTCGGAAACTGGGATTCGGAAACTGCGCGGTTGTATTCGGAAACTGGTATTCGGAAACTGAAGCGGTTGTATTCGGAAACTGGAAGGGTGGTATTCGGAAACTGCACGGTTGTATTTGGAAACTAGTATTCGGAAACTACACGGTTGTATTCGGAAACTGGTATTCGGAAACTGAGACGGTTGTATTCGGAAACTCCACGGTTGTATTCGGAAACTGACCGCTTGGATTCGGAAACTCGACGGTTGTATTCGGAAACTCGTATTCGGAAACTCGACGGCTGTATTCGGAAACTGCGGGACCGGAATCTCTCTTCAGTGCGTGTATCTCTTTGGCAATGCCAGGAAAACTGCTCTGAACGGATTTTCTCACAAGCGCCCCAACACCCCCCAAACACCACCCGCCCTCCATGGTACGCAACTATCCACATAAGCTTAATGCCCCTGCCCCACCCCCACCCCCCTCCCCCCCAACCCACAGGAAAGCATTGGTCCGCACAACCATATACGAAACCTTACTGCCCCACCCCCCACCCCCCAACCCGCCCGCCCTCCATGGTACGCAACTATCCACATAAGCCTGCCCCACCCCC